ATACAGCCTAGCATATGATAGGTGATTACTAAATACTTGATCACTAAATGAGTGATGCTTTTTCTTATGAGAAAAATAAATGTTTTAAGAGTCAGCTTTCTACCATGGTTTCAGGGAGTGAATTGTGATGAAAACTGAAGATTACTTTTACTTGAAAAAGGCTGACAAGTTTCCCAGACCTGGGATCACTTTTTGTGGCGTATGATTTAAGGGTGAGTGAGCATGCCAAAGCTCTCCACTTGAGCAGACTGATGGGAAATACATAGTGGAGCTTTGGTCTTATGTGGTATTTTGTGAAAAATCATGGGAGATTTATGGCTATTAAACAACTTTGTAGCTGCCCCCTTGTTTTGAAGTCTGCCAAATCTCTGTGCCTGTGGTCTGTATCATGTTCCTCCATGCATCCATGATATTCAGATATCCACTGGACTGCAGTTTTCATTACATGTACCCATTGGGAAGGGCTTTGGATTTTGTGTACATGCAGACATTCATTTTCTATAATTGCAAAATGAGGTTCTCACTCTGCAAGTAACTCATAGAGTGCACTATACTTTCATTGAATCTTTTCCAAAAAGGTTGCCAAAGTTCTACCTTCCTTCCTGCAATATGGAAATTGCAAAGTATAGTATATTAGTGACCATTATTTACTGTTATTGATGTGAGTTAAAAAATTATTAGCAATGCTCCAGTTGTGAATAGGCGAAGAATCAAGAAACCCTCAGTATGCTTTGGCAGATCTTCAGCAGAAAGACTTACAAGGCTGGAATGAAAACGTCAAGCCTTGGCGTCAAGGGTATACATATTTACCATTAGCAGCTTTTCCCATTCTGTGGGTCACATTCAGTAGCTTTAAAAGAAATAGAAATGGGATATTTCATCATAATGATCCAGCCAAAGATGGCATCCGTCCATATTAGGCAAGTACAAGAGAATCCTTAGAGGAAATTTCCTCTCATTATGGGTTCATGTCAGTACAAGACTGCATGGATCAGTGTAGAAACGGGAGTCTCTTTTGTTTCATGTTTAATTTCAAAAGGTGAAGAAAAGTTAAGAAATGAGCCTCTGAACCTTTCAAAATTTGTAATTTCTAGTATTTTTACATATTTGCTTCAGATCTTTTCTTTAAATGAAAGAAATAATCATCATGTCTAAAGTTGAATCTCCTTCGTATCTTATTAGCTCCATCCATGTGGCCCTTTCTTCTTGGCAGAGACAAACGTTTTCATAAATTTAGTGCACATCTTTTATAATTTTTAGATGTTTTCATACGGTAAGAAGTCAAAGAACAATGTATTTATGTAAACAATATTATATTACATTTGTCATTTGACAACTTGCACTTTCACTTTGTATATTTTTTAGACCCATTCAAATTGAGATATACAAATCAGGTTTATTGCTTTAGATGCTAAGTATTATTCTGTCATATGACTCTACATTTATCCATTTTCCTCATTGACAGACATTTATTCAGTTTTTTTCTATTATAAATAATGCTCTAATAAACATTGTTTTATGTTCAATTTGCAGACCTGTGCAAAATTTTCCATAGTGTAAATATTTTAAATGAAATTGCTGTACCAATTTTCAATTTTATTAGATATGCTGCTAAATTGCTCTCCAAAGTAGGTTCACCAATGCACATTCCCACCGGCAAGGGATTTGCCTTCATTCTCACTCGTACTTGTCATTATGAAACTTAAAATTTCGCCAGTATGATGGATGGAAAAACTGTATCCTGTTTCAATTTGCAATGCCTTTAGTACTGGCACATTTGACCAACTTCTCTTATATTTGTTGACCGTTCAGGTTTTCTCTTCTTTGAAATCCCTAACATTTCATTTACCCATTTTTTCTATTATATTTTTATTAACTTAGAGACATTCTTTTTGTATCCTGGATAATAGTATTTTATTGCTGATGTGGCAAATATCTTCTTATAGGAGATGAAAGTAAAATGAAAAGTACAAGTCTTTGCCATGGGCAGTTAGGAAAATTGGCAAGGTTTTAAAGATTTGAGAATCTTTATAGTCCTGAAGACTTAGATTTACCCAGACTTCCTTATTCTCATTTTAGTCATCTCTTAATCTGGGTAAAACAAAACATTATGTAATTGTTTTAAATTTATGCTTGTATTATCTTATCCTCAATATATTATGAGTCTACTGCTTCAGGTTCAAGATGAGTTCTTTCTTTGTCAGATGGTGTACAAATTTAAGGCCTTTCCTTGTCCACAATTTTCATATGATAATTGTGATTTTTCTTTAACCATTTTTCTAAGCATAGAATTCAGAGACCAAGTATGAACATAACTACTGGGACGATCCTTTGGGCTTCATTTTGATAAAAGTTAAGTCAAAGAACTGGAAGTTGAAATCTTGATTTGTAGTCAGTTTCCTAACCATTGAAGAATGAAAGTTCCACCAAAAGGCATAGTTTACAAGAGTGTTCTTATCCTAGCTTCTTTTATTTGAGTTGAGGCTATAAATAGATACTGAGCAGAAAGTTTGGCATAGAATCATGAGTGCAATACAAGTCAAGCCACACCATTTTGGTTCTGTCTACAAGTGGAAATAAAACTAAACAGCTATTTTATTCTTGGTTACAGATCTCTATGTTTTGCATAGTCAGAGGTATTTGCTAAAAGGTGTCGGTTCTTCTAGCAATTTTAGGAAAAGTTGACATCAAATTGTCAACAGCCCAAATCGAGATTAAAAGTACAAAGAAGTGCCACAGTATAGCAGCCTAAAACTCATATGAGACTTTAGGTCTATCTTTTATTTTTTTAATAATGAGCTTCAGTAGAAACATTAATGAAGAGAAAACGTGTGACCTCTTTGGAGGAAGTGTGGAAGATTAGTGTAAGGACAGCCCTCATCCCTCTACTGCGTATGTCCTTCCTCAAGAACTGAATGGGTGCCATGTTTAGAATACTGTCACTGTGTTTCATTCATCATGTAGAGATTACAGCAGATCTTGAGTGCTGAACAGAGAGACAACTAGTGACTATCGTATTTGAATTTTAATCCAATTTCTGCCTCCTCATTCTGACAGCTTCAAATGTCTAATGATGTAGCATATAGCAAGTCTTACCTACTTTTGGAAACCTTTTTCTTGGTGACTGAACTTTTATCTTGCTAGATCCAATACATTTGGATCAAGCTTTAAGCACCACATATTTGCCTTATGTTTGCCTTTGAGCTGGAGTGAAGAAATGCTCCCCAAATCTGTTTCTCCCTAGGGATAGAGGTTCTGATTTTGCTCCTTTCAGACCTCTTTCTATAAGTCTCTACTGAAAGCTGCTTAATCAAATATCTCAAATGTCAGAAACTAAGTTTAAAGGGTTTTCCTAGCAAGTATGTCTAATCTCCTGCTTAGTTTTGATTCCCATAATGTAGGTAATCTCTTTGGAGAAAAGGCATGCTTCTGGCAGGGTAAATATATCCCATACAGTGCATTTCCTATTCCGGAAAGAAAAATGCAGCATTAATGAAATTTGCTTTTTTTCATGGAACTTGGAAAGGTTGTAAGCTTAGGATTTTGATCCTAGCAGATGTTCTTTTTGGGTATTAAAAAAAGTTGCATTTGATTTAGAAATCTCAGTTAAGAGTTATAATGGTGATACTCCTTATTAAAGCAGCCATACTCTGAGTATGATCTCCTGGTCATCAGTACTATGTGACATTAAAGCCCACAGCTGTTGCACTTTCTTTCTGCTTTAGCCCACAAGGACATTGAGTTCAGAGTGTTAATAGCCACATACAGGCTGTTCTAAACACATTTCCTGACACAATGTCTATACACAGTTATATAGTTAAAGAGTTGTTTGGGTACAATAAAAAGAATCATTCTAGTTACAATTCATGCCATTTTTTTTAGGTCTTGGAATAACAATGTTTTGGCGATAACTGAGCATTCTTAATCTGAAAATCTGAAATCCAGCATGCTCTAAAATCTGAAACTTTTCAACATGATACCACAAATGGGAAAATTCCATACCTAACTTTGAGTAACAAGTTGTAGTCAAAATGGAGGAGCAAAAATGTTTAAAATTACCTTTAGGCTATGTATATAAGATGTATGAGAAACATAAATAAATGTCATGTTCAAACCTGGGTTCTGTCCTATCCCTGGTGTATTTTATTGTATATCTGAAAAATTATCAGAAATCCAAAATACTCTGGACCCAAGCTTTTGGATAAGGATACTGAACCTCTACTCCAAATGAAATTTCAGATGGATTTCTTAGTACTGTTGTTAAACTTAAGCTAGAAGACCAGGTGCACAGCCTGTGACAATTTATGTCTTTCTCTACGGTTACTTCATGCTGCTGAGTTTTGTATCTTTGACTTCCCTCTGCCTCTATACCACTGGGCCCACATAAGCCAGCCATTTTTCCTCATCCACCCTGAGGGCAAAGCTGAGTCTCTTCACTAGTTTTGATAGAAATATGCTCACAGCCATCATTTGCTTTGTGGAAATTACTGGGAGAAGGCCTATGATAGAGATCTAAGTCTACACTGTTTCCTGCCTCTCTTTTTTTTCCTCCCTCCTCTTCTTCTTCTTTTTTTTTTTCCTTTTTGAGGTACTGGGGCTTAAACTCAGGGCCTTCCCCTTGAGCCACTCCACCAGCCCTATTTTTGCAAAGGGTGTTTCGAGATAGGGTCTCATGGAACTGTTTGCCTGGGCTGGCTTCAAACTGTGATCCTCCTGATCTTTGCCTCCTGAGTAGCTAGGACTACAGGCATGAACAACCAGTGGCTAGCTCTTCCTCTCTTCTTTCAGCTCAGCAAAACAAACCATCCCATTGTCTCAGAGCCATTCCACCTAGGCTGAGGCCTCTCAAAGTTTTGTACCCTGTCCAACAGTAGCTAGAATTTTATCTCAGTAAAGAGAACTCTTGCTTTCTAAGAAGTCTTTGTAGATCATGTTTTCCCTAAACAAGGGTATTGAGCATTTGATGTTGCTCCATGGTGACATTTTCTTTTATAACACAGGCTTCCAGTGAGGATGTTGCTGCCTCTCCAGAGCGCTGCCACTACACACCCTTGCCTTCTGCTTCTAGAGAACTCACCAGTCACCGAGGTGGGAACTTGCTTTTTATTACTCTCAGTGGTTGTGGGGAGGGGCACGTGGTCATGCAGAGTTCTGGGCTTCTTAATGCTGCCTTGGCACTTTGGAAGGAACACAGTGCTTTTTTAAGTCCTTGATGAGAAAACCATGCCTGTCAAACCTACTGATTTTATCCCATATTAACCAGAATTTAGTGGCAGTCTACTGGGACTGCATACAAATCCATAGTATAATATACTTTTGTGATTTTCTTTTCTTTAAATAAAGAGTATATACTTAAAAATTATGAAAGAGATCATTACCTCCAGCAATAGTAATGCAGAGAAATTGGGAAATGCAATAATATTTGCAAAAGTACTATTGTTTGAGAATATAATAGTTGAAATCTATAATTTCAAAATGAATGAACTCTACATTACCACTTGAAGCTATTTTGATTTGCCTGGCAGCATTGGAGAGAATCCATGTGTAGTTTTGGCTGAATTTTCTGATCCTGAAAACATTAATTTGGCTTATGTAGTTCTTCCAAAGCCTTGGATTCCTATTGTCATCTCTAGAGTCTTGGGTTTCACGAGCATTCAGTGTACTGACATGGAATACCACTTGCAAGCAAGTGCCTTATTCCTAAACTGGTGGCTTGAGCCAAGAAATATGTCATTGCCTGGGTTGGAATTGTTGAGGGCAAGAAGAGGCCATGCAGTGTAACTTGTTTGCCATGTTTTCTCCTGGCAATGATTAGATCCATGTTTCCAAACTGTAAATCTGTCTTCCAAGGTTAATAAGAACAGGCTTAGATAGAGGGCATCACAAACTATAGGTATTATTTCCTTAAGGGGGAAATTCCCCCTTGTACATGTAGAGGACACTGAGTAAGGATGGTCCCAGCTTTGTTATTCCAACTACATCGCATGGCTGGGTGGGGGAAAGGCCGTGGAGATGCTTAGAAAGTGATGGAACTGGCTCTCAGAGATGACTTATGGTCTCTGTGTAAATAAGACAATAATATTCTATAGGAAACCAGGAAGAGAATAATATAAATTTCCAAGGCCTGTGACTTGGACCTGTGTTACCTATTTGATATCTGGGTATCAATAGAACTTTTTTTACATTTAAATATACTTTGGCTTAATTAGAGTTCAGTTGTGATTCCTTTCATTAAGTGTCAATTTTATGAAAATAAATTTTACTCAAAATGAGGTGGAATAGGTAGCTACCAGTATCAGTTCCAAAGGGTCTGAACAGGTCTTTTCACTAGATGGTCTTACGAAGGTCTTGAACATATTCCTTCAAGACTGTTTGGTGGGAGCTTCCCTATGTAAAAAATACTACTAGAAGGGATATTATGTTAACTCTTAAATTAGCATCCTGTCATTATGTGTTTATTTATTTTCTGGTATTGGGATAGAAAAATTTTACTCGATAGCCTGTTGAATAACTTGAGTGGAAACTGAGGTCTCAGATACCTAAAACCACTTGTGAATGTTCATCTAGCCATGAAATAGAGATTTCACAGTGGGAAGATGTGATCAGATCAATTTTATCATCAGGAATAGATCAAACATCACCTGCCATTTTAATAGTAATATAACACATACAAATCTGGAAGGAATAGATAGAAGACAATAAGTTTTATTTATTTTTATTCATTTTGTGTGTGTGTGTGTGTGTGTGTGTGTGTGTGTGTGTGTGTGTGGTGCTGGAAATCAAACCCAGAATCTCAGCTGATGAGGTAAGAGCTCTACCACTGAGCTACATTTCCAGCCCAAGTTTTGAAGGTATTTTGAGTAATATTTGTAATGTTAAAAATGGCTAAAGGAGTTAGAAGTCAAATAGATGTTCTTGGGTGACATTCAAGTCCAACATAAATGGGAAAATGTAAACATGTTATTTAAAAGGAGCCAACAAGAGACACCTTAACTTTGCTGAGGAATATCTTTACATATGTAACACACAGTTTGCCTGGCAGTGCTGAGGATATGCATGTTGAAAAAGTAAGTCTGAGTCATGAAACAATGTTCTTTGAGCCCATGGTTATGAGAGTACAAAGAGACAGCCAAAGTAGTTCATTAAGACTGGATTATGAGTGAGCTCATCTATCTAGAGAAAAGGTGAGACTCATGTACAATCTTGGCCTAAATCCTACACCAACAAATGAAAGTACTGAATGCCATGTTGTTTTTTTATATTTGAGGAAATTATTCAAATATGTAAATCACTACACTATTTGGGTGCCATCATTGATACTTTCATTGAAATAGCTTTCAAGCATTCATGTGAATGGGGCCCTCCACAGTATAAAGACAAATGGCATCAATTTTCCTGAGTGAAATCCTTTGTGATCTTTAAAACTTGATCGATAAGACCCTAACTGGAATTATCTTGATCGATAAGACCCTAACTGAAATTATTTGAAAATAATTTTTGATTCACCTAGTTCCCAATCTCTTTTCCTTCTGCATCAACAACTACAAAAACTGGTGGGCAGTAGTTCATGGGCAAATTGCTACTTTCCTATACACATAGCATTTTCCCTTGTCCTTTTATTTGACTTCCAGTGTCAAGAATGATGGGCCCAAGATTCATGTCCTAAGGACTGGAGAGTCTAATGCAAAAGAAGACTTGAATAATGATCAGGAGATAGGGGACTCAATTTTTCCATTTGAAACTTACAGATACACTGTACATCATAGGTATAGAAATATGCAGGGCTTTCTACTTCCTGCATGAAACTTTTCCTTATCTGAGCTGTATTGCTTTTTCTACTTCTTGAGAGTACTTAGAATATTTGTTTCTACCTCCTAATGCAATGTTCATATTCTGCTTTGTACAATGGAGGTCAGGTTTGCATACTGTAAACTCTTCATAAATGGAAGCTCTGTGAGAGACAGTACAAAGTCTAACTCCTTTCCCATCACTGGCTTCTGTCATTCTTCAGATACAAGCTTAAATATTACAGCTCTAACAGGGACTTCTCTGATCCCACCTTACACATTTGTATCAGGTCAGTTTGCCCTATTCAAAGACTATCTTCCTATAGACTTTAAGCTATTATGGGGAGTTTAAAACAGTTTTTCTATTTGTTCACAACTGTATCAGCAATGCCTGGCATAGGGATGCCTGCTTATTCAGAGCTCAGTATATATTTGTTATGGCTTGGGTAAGTATCTCCCAAAGACCCATGTGTTAGAAGCTTGATCACCAGCCTGTGACACTGTTGGGAGGTGATAGAACCTGTCAGAAGTAGGCCAAGTAATGGAATGAAGTTAGGTCATTTTGGGTATATTCCTCTTGAGGGACATCTTGAGAGCCTAGTCACTCCTCTTCCTCCTTTTGCTTTCCGCCATGAGGTGAGGGCTTCCTCCACCACATTTTCTCCATGATGGGTTGCTTCGCCTTGGGCTCAGAAACAATGGGCAAGCCAACATACTATTGACCTCTATGGAAAGCCAACTAACACAATATTTGTTCAGTAAGTTATCAGCCATAGAAACCCAGGGAAGAGTCAGTGTCTTTGATAGGCCTGCAAGATAACTTGATTATCTGTGAGAACGGAGCCCCATCTTCCTTTAAGAGTGAGCACACTGAATGGAAGGACTAGCCTTGTGCATCTCAGACCACTAGACTTATGCATCGCAGACCACATCTCTGTTCTCAGAAACTCAAACCATCAAAGATGGTTTGATTCAGTGCAGAAGAGCATTTAGCCACAAAACATAACTTCCAAGTAAATGATTGTTTTAATGTAGTTTTCCAACTTTGGTGTTTTAATGGTAGGGAAGGGAATATGATGAATTGAAAGAACTGATCATTATGACACTCTCAAAGAAGGAGTTGGACTTCCCCAAAAGATGCACGTATAGAATATACATGGATTTAGAATGGTTCACCTTAAATCTCTCTGAGCCCTGCCCTCAGCTTAAATATATCTTTGGAGTATGGGGAACATGGTTCTGTGTAACTGACCTCTGCTGTTACCTAGTGGCAATCTATATACCATGTCCCCGATGGGTGTAATGTTGTGAAGAATGTTGACATATTCATTGGATAATTATCTCCTTAGGTATGTCATGTGAACAGGACATACTCTAGCATACCAGTCATTGCCACCCTGTCCAGTAGCTGTTAGAAGAAGAATTCACATTTATGTAAATCATTGTGTCTTTGGTGAAAACCATTTCTATTTCGAGCACAGGCCATATTACTCTCAAGGCACCCTTGTAAGGTGGGGAGGGAAATACAACTATTCCCATTGTGCAGAGGAATGGGAGTTCACCAAGAATGTCTGGGGGTGATCAGAGAAGTGGTGACAGAGACAAAGGAAAAGATCCAAAGCCCTTGATTCCTAGATCACCCCTGACATTTGTCCTTCACACAGCAAGTATGAAGGAAGTACAGGTAGGGCTAAGTATGACACTGATGGGGGGAAGAGGAGAGAAAGTACAGGGAAAGTCAGACTTGGCAATGTTCAATGCCAGGGGTAAATTCCTAGAGTCTATGCTAAGGCTACCAGGAGGCACAGAATCCTCACCAGCAAGGAGGCTGGTGATTCTCAAGAGCTTGCCGGAAAGTCTCACAAGATATCAGGATCTCAGAATCAGGTGGGTTTATCCACTATCTTTCTCAAGCTGAAGCTCCCTAGGCAGGTTGGTGACTCAAGCTCACATGGAAATGGCTTCACACATTGTGACTGTCCATACATTGTCTTGCCCCTTCTTATATCCAGATTTCCAAGTCATACTTTAGTGCCTGTTTTTTGTTTGTTTGTTTTTTGGAGGATTCTAACCTAGATTGATGCACTGGAAGGGATTCTGGGAAATATAAGTTCTAGTTCTCTTCTGGGCTGCAGAGAAGACCTTAGAAGAGGGATGGTGGTGATAGCATAACAGATAGTCTGGCACATCTACAATAATCTTACCTCATCAATAGCTATTGTATTGAACATACCATTCCAATTTTTCTGCATATACATTTTGTAAAATATTTGAAAGGTCAGTGAATATTCAGGAATTTTTTCCTGGTGCTTAGTCTTAAAGATGTGCTATAGTTAGTTTGCCATATTAAGCATTAGATTTTAAATATATAATATATATAAGATACAATAATAAAAAAGAAAGCAAAAAAACAAAGAGGAAGTCTGTGAAAACTTGCTTGGAGATAGTAGCCATTACA